TTTAACATAAAAATCGGAGGCTCAGAGGGGATCAAGGACCTGCAGTCCCATTGCTAGCTAGTTAGTGGTGGAGCTGGGGGTGAAATCCCATTTTCTGCACCCAGGACACAAGCTGCACCAAAGTGCACCCCTTCTGAGAAGGGGGGAGCACGTGCCCCGGTGTGGCTGTTCTGTTCTGCTACCTACCAGGGAGGATTCCCAGCCTCCTTCAGGGGAAAGAAAGCTCTGCAGTTAGACTAAATATAGTCTGGGAGAGGCTGCATCTCATTTGGACTAATTATCCTGTCACCCGTCAGAAGAACAAAGAGTGAAGAATTTTCTGGCCCCATCATTTCCATTCCTTTCACTGGCTTGCTCTTCCGCGTACTGGCCTGACCTGCGGGCCTGGAGACATGCTAACAGAGGAGACGTGCTGGCTGACCGAGGAATGTCTGGGCTGCCCCCGGTGATGACGCGACTGCTTCAGTCTCCCCCACAATGACCCTATTTAGAACCCGAGGGAGGCTGGCCTGGTGAGAGGCCCCGCAGTCCTGGAAATGCCCGGATGAAGGGACAGGGAACAAGGCACGGTCTTCAGTGGATACTGCAGCCTGACAATCGACTAATGTTATTACTGATAACCCATCTTGCAAAGCCCGCCTTGTTCTCCCGTCTGACAAACAGCACAGCCGTGTGCCAGGCGGGCAGGGGGTTTATTAAATATCACACTATAAGGAAACTCGCACTGAGTTTCTAAGGAGTTCAAAACCAACGTTAGGGAAATTCAAGAGGAAGAAAGGTGCTTTGAGGGTAAAGAAGACTTGCTTTATACTGTGTCAGGGGCACAGGGAAGACGTGAGAATCTCAGGAAGCTTTTATGAAGTTCCTGTGTACGCCAGGGAAATGTTCTAGAACACTTGGCATCGCTGATAGCAAGATTTTCAAAAGCAAGAATGATGTTTAAGTGAACAAAATTCTGTTAACCACAAGCACTGCAAGTGATTCCGATAAATCTGTTACTTTCTGTTGTCGACTTTATGAGGCACAACCTCTGCAGGTGGAGCCAGACGAAGTGTCACGTCAGAGAATCTGCAATAACACGTTTAACACCTGCAAGAAGTTCCAAGTAAAATGCCGCATTGGAAAAAGTGGTTTGCACATTTCAGGTCAGACGTTTGCACATTTTAAAATACAATCTCATTTCTAAGAAATGGCACGGAGCTTGTTCAGACAATGGGACATGAAATACGGAGTTCAAAGGATTCACATCATAGTTTGAATCATCCAACCCGTATGAGTGGGTACGTGATTCATACATCCTGTGCCTGGTACTAAGTACTGGATATTCAATCTTTCTCAACAGCAGTACATATTTACCGATAATCCACTATGACAAGGGGAATGGGAATGGAGAAGAGTCTTGAATTTCACACACACACATCCTAGCTTCCCTGCAGAGGGCTATGCTGTTTCCACACAGGATTCTGCTTCGGAGCCCAGCTATGAGCCCGGGCCTGCCCAGGAGCTGGAGGAGAGGGAAGTAGGCTAGATTCCAGTGCAGTGCGTTGGGGAAGCGGGATAGAAGACCGAGGTGAGCTGAGGGTGGGAACCAGGGCTCTTGCAGCCGAGAAAGTTACCACGGGCCATTTCCCTTCTTTCTGTGCTTGTTAGCCCCGCCCTCAACTCCTTTGGTTTTCTCTCTGTCTCTCTCTCTGTCTCTCCTCTCCCCTTTCTCCCTCTCTCTCCCCATCTCTCTTTCCCTTCCTCCTTCCGCCCTTCCCTTCCAGCTTCATTTCATTTTGCCTCACTCTCCCTCATCCTCTGGTTTCTCCAAAATTTTATTGCTTTGCCGCACCGGGGTGAGAAAACCACCAGATCAAAACCAGTCACTGGGGAAGCCTGGGCTGCCCTGAAGTCCAAACTGGATTAATTATGCCCAGACAACTTTGAATACACTGTAAACCGGAAGAAACAAAGCCAAATGAACTGAAAACTTGGCTTCAGTATAATTTGGTTTATTTGCATAGCATGGTAGGGTCTTCAAAGGGTTAAAAAAAAGGGCAAGCAAGGTCTTTTCCAGGAGATTTTTGTTTGAAAACTCATTTCTATCAGAGACGTGGTCAGACGTAACACTCAGCAGATGCAGTCACAGGGCTGAGCACTCGGGAACAGACTGCAGGGCCATCCTCGCTGCCCGAGAGCCTCTTCAGCTCTGCCCCTCCCACACACCCCGGTGTCACGGAGCGCGGCACAGAGGGCCAGTTTGCTAGGACGTCTGAGGGTGGAGTGTGTTTCTCTGCCTTTGCTGCCAAAAATGACCGATGTGAACGAAGCAGGGCCCCTCTGGACCATGGTTTCTCGCCTTGGCTCATTGAAATCTGGGGCCAGGTGAGCCCATGTCGTGGGAGGTCCTGTTTGTGCCAGGGTGTTTGGCAGCAGCCCAGTGGCATGCATCCCGGCCCCCAAGTAATGAAAACCAAAAAACTGCCTTTGGACATCGCCGGACGTCCCCTGGGCAGCAAAAGCAACCCCTTTCGAGAACCATTTCTTTAGAGAAGAGGATAAAATGTTCTGTTCCAAAACAGACATACAAGAGCTTAAGTGTTTTAAAGTGTTTAGGGAAAGATGATATTTTAGAAAAAATCTGGTGATAGCTTAACCTTCTTAGCTGTCAAGGCTCTGCTCCAAGCTGGTGTTTCTCCTAAACTTCGAGCTTCATAAGGATGGAAACGTGTGTCTCATATGCTGCCATAGTCCTAGGACCCAGCAGAGGGCCCAGGACACAGTAGGTGCTTAATAAACATTTGTGGCATGAACACCTCATTCAGTGAGCAAATACTACCCAACAAGCACTACAACATATTCACACCTTAACCCCAGTCCTTACAACAACACTAACACAGGATGGGCTCTGAGTAAAACTCATCAATAAAGCAAATTCAGTATCGCGTCATTGTTATTTTCTCCTAGTTCCTGTCCTTCCCCAGCCACTGCTCTCCAATGAGGTGAGCGGAAGCTCTTGCCCAGCGGAGTGGGGAGGGCTGCAGCTCCCCCGGGACAGTGGGGGCGGGGGCAGGTGTCCTTGTGTCCTCAGAAATCTTCCAGCCAAATTTCCCTCAATCCAAAAGACCCAATGGGTGTCAGGTAACTAGGAGATTCTTGGAATTATTGCCGCCCTCCTGAGAACCTTATCCAGCCACATAGCCAGGACCCACACTTGTTCCCATCAATATTTAAACCAGAGTAAACAATACCCAGGTGGCAGCAGACCGCAGCTGCTGAGACTGGACAGGATTTGGCCCACGTAGTCGGAACCCTGGCAACCTGAGTCCTTTCACAGACATCTCAAACACACGCCCTCACGTTTTACAAGACCTCTGTTTGCCCACCCATCATCTTAGGCTGGGGTTCTACTATATCATCTCGACGGCGCCGATGAGGAAACTGAGGCCCTAAGAGGTTGCATGACTTGTTCAGATCACCAACATGCTTTGCGGTCACTTGAAACTTACCCAACCACGCACAGTTGGGCTGACTCGGCACTCCGCCAGGCAGCGCGGACCAGTGCACACAAACCCTTCTGGAGAAGGCTGGTCATCGCCATTCCTGTGTTCCCCGTGTTACCACTCCCTGAATGGCTGGGGTGGGGGGCTCCAGGCTCCACTGTGTGGGCTTGGGAGGGGCAGCTGAAGAGGACCTGGTTTGGAGCCAGTGGCCTCAAAGCTGTGCCAAGCTGGGGTGCAGCAGGCATGCCAGGATGAAGAGCAGGCAGGACTGGGCTGGCCTGGGAAGAACAAGCAGAGGCACAAAAAAAAAAAAAAAAAAAACATCTACTGCGGAGTCGAACAAGGTGAGGCAGAACCCAAATCGGACTCGCTCACCACACCGGGGGAGACAGGACGAGGAGTGGGTCGCTGCCTCCTAAGGAGGCCCAGGGATGCCTAGTGTCAGACAGGCCTGGCAGCCTGCCACGCTGGGGAGCATGCGCGTTAACGTGTACACAAATGTTTGCGGGGAAGGAAGCTAGCTGGGTAAAGGAGTAAGCCAAGGCTGCTTATGAATATCCCCCTTTTTTTAGAGCACTCTCATTCTTGGAAAAGCGTTACGCTCTAGGCAGTTGAGTGGTCACCAATCTGGTCGTTGACGTGTGTCAGTGAGTGGGGCCAGGCAGTGAGGACCAGGAGTCCAGCTGGTCAGAGCCGCCAACAGCTAACCGTTCCCAGCAGAGATGGTCGAAGCCAAGATGCCTTAATTCAGGGGGGAGCCGCAGGGCCCTGTGACTTGCCCGGGAGTCCCACTGCGGGGAGGGAGCCAGGGCTGCTCTGGCAGAGGGAAGCTGAACTAAAGGACACAGAAGGGAAACCCAGTCCAAACGAGCAGGCAATGCCAGCCTTCCCCCCTCCCCAGACGTGACCAAGGGGCTGGGCCCCTCCTGGACCAGGGGCAGCATACCTGATGCAAAGAGGGGAGGGTAGCAGGCAGGGCAACGGCGTGGGGCGCAGCTCACCTCCCACTCCACATAGGTGGAGCTGCTGCTTCACGCCGAGGAGACATGCTGGCCTGGAGGGCATCGCTCTTCGTCCTCATTAACCTTCACCTCGAGCCGCTCTCTCCATTCTGCAGGGACGTGGGAACAACTGTACCTCTTACAGCCCTTCCCTCTACAGTGTGAACTCATTTCATCTCATTTCTTTATTTCTCTTGTAAATTTAAATTTTTTAAATGACAGTTTCTCATTTATGTATTTTAAAGATATTTATTTATTTATTTATTATTTTTAGACAGAGGGGAAGGGAGGGAGAAAGAAAGGGAGAGAAATGAGCCCTGGTTCCATCAATGTGTGGTTGCCTCTCATGCACCCCTCACTGGGGGACCTGGCCCGCAACCCAGGCACGTGCCCTGACTGGAAATCGAACCGGCGACCCTTTGATTCGCAGGCCAACGCTCAGCTCATTGAGCCACACCAGCCAGGGCTCTCATTAATTTTTTTAATGCATGCAAAGCTAGTATATAGTGTAAAAATGTGTTCAGGTTTTCACTGACATTTGTTTTAAGCTTCACTCCAGACGCTAGGAACGTAGGACATACAGGTTCCTGCCCCCAGAACGGTGGCGCTCCTCCGGGGTGGGACCGGAAAGAAACATGCACGCGCACACATAAGACAGTTCCACACAGGGGTAGTCACATCTCTGAAGTGGGCACAGTGCATTGGGATTTCCCGAAGCCTTGCATTTGTTGATCTCTATCATATCCTGGAGCTCATTATCCGTGGCGTTCTCCCTGGATGCAGTGTGGGCCCTCAGTGCCTGCATTCACCAGTGGCACTTGGCTCTTGAGCTGTAGTGTTTTCAACAGGCTGGTTCGGGTCGTGTCCTTTCTGCCCCGGCAAAGTGAAGTCGCCTGCACGATCAGTGAGTCTGTGGTGTCATTGACTTGCTGCCGCTGTTTGGGAGGGAGAGGCAGGTGTTTTGTCACGGGCAAGACTCTCACCTTTAGTATGTTGCAATATGTCAAACAATGGCCCCCCCTCCCCCCCCGAAATGTCCAAGCCCTCATCTTTGGAACCTGTGTGTCGTACTGGAAATGACAAGGGAAAAGGAACTTTGCGGGTGTGATCAAGGTAAGGATCTCGAGCTGGGGAAATGACACTGGACTATCTGGGTGGGCCCGACGCAATCCCCTGTCTTTGTAAGAGGGCGGCGGGGACTGGAGGGGGCAGAGGGAGCCGGAATGACGGCGACAGGAAAAGGCAGTGTGATGTGAGCCGCTGAGCCAGGGGTGGAAGGGCCTCGATGAGCTGGAAAGGCCACGAAGTCTCCCCTAGGGCCTCCAGAGGGAGAGAGTCCGGCAAACCTGCTCTTCGCCCATACGTGAAACTCATTTTGAACACCTCTAGAACTATGGGAAAATCACTGCGTGTTGTTTTAAGCCAAGTTGTGCTAAGTTGTTACAGCAGCAATAGGAAACCAACACATATGCCTTCCCTTCTAGACCCCACAACAGAAAAATGTACGAACCTTCCTCCTCCTTCTGGTCCCGTCTCTCCTGTCGGCTTGCAGGGCAGGGTTCGGCGGGGGAAGCCAGAGGGAATGGCAGGGTCGTCTGGAGAAGGAAGGTCGCAGGGAGCAGGAATCTGACCGTTTTCTCCAGCTGCTCACATTATGTCCTCTGCCTCCTGCCGTGGTTTTAAGTCTCTTCTCAGAAAACGACAGGGAGCCCTCTGCCTCTCTCTGTGCGGCTCCCAGCGGAGAGGGGCGGCGTGGGGCTGGAAAGACTGGACCGAGCTAGGCCTACCTGCCGTTTATTCCCTGGCGGCCAATTAAGGAATCTGTAAGGAACACATGAGGGAATGAATGCACAAGGGGTTCAACCGGTCGTCTGCATTTATTGAGTGCCTACGATTTGCTGAGCACTGTACTGATACTAGAGAGCCAAAGAGAAGTAAGCACATTCCCTGACCTTGAGAAAAGGCAGATGGGCACACGGTTTGTTACAAAACAACAGATACATCCCAAATGGGCCGGAGGACCCCAGGGCAGGCATTGCTTCCGTTGCTCGGATTAGAGGTGGCTCCGTACAGGAAATACCTTCTGATCCGGGCTTGGGAAGGGGTACGGAGACTTCCCCGAGAGGAGGGGGCACGTGCCCCAGGGCCCCGTGAACAAAATCACACTAAGCTTCACGGGCGAAGAGTGTGGGTGGGGGTCACACACACAGGGCCATGGAAGCCAGTGTCACGCGGTGGCAATGTGCGATGAGCCACCGTCTCCTTCCAAACGTGGAGCTACTGGCCGCGAGGAGTCAGCCGCCAGCCTGCCCTCGTTTGGGCCCTCTGAGCGCTCCGAACTGACCGCGTCAGCCTCACCCCCCAGCGGAGGCGCACGCTTCTCCTGTTCCGCCTGTGTGGGAACTACGGTGCGACCGTTCAGATTTATTTTAAAAAGTATAAGAAATTCCACAGAAACGAAAGGAATTTCATGAACGTATGTATCGCTTCAACTTTTCTGGCTTTCGTCCAAAAAACTTATCAAAGTTTAAAACTGAAAAATAAAGTAAGAAAACTAAATGATCAAAGTTACACTCCCCCCTCCCTCAGAGAGGGGGGCCGGGGCCCTGGCTTCGGGGGGGTTGGCTGGAAGGAGCGGGGACTTCCTCCGGCAGCCCTGAGATTCCTCGGGCAGGCACGGGAAGTGGGGCCCAGGGTCACCCTCAGGATGTGGCTTTGGGCTGTCCGGAACTGTTAGTGCTGGTCCAAGCCTCTCTTGGCCAAGGCCGAGGGAGGGCGCCTTCAGGAAGGGCTCAGGGGAAGAGCGGGGCTAGCGTTTGGGGAGGGAGCAAACTGTCACCGTTCAGCTGCACTGCCTTGTCCCTGATGACTTTCCAGGTCTTTGCCCCAGTCCTTGCAGAGACCTGGGTCTATTCGTTGCTCTCGGTAGCCCCGAGACACCCCTGTGTCCTCATAATAAAACGCCCCGTATTCAAGTGAACGGGCTGGAGTTCTATCCACAGAAGGAAGCAGTCACGAAGACAGATCACTTCACCTGCATCAGTGCGGCCACAGACTTGTCATGTTTACTGTTCGGTGGCCGTCCCTTCACGTCACGGATCGGAGCTTGTTTTGCAGTGACTTGGGTCATTTCCAGAAAGTCACTGACAAAGCTGCTTTTCCTCCATATAGAAGGTGAGGAGGCGCACAGAGCTGAGCACCCTGCACGTGGCTCCCGGGCCCCCTCCAGCCGACACGCCGCAGCCCCACCTCGATGGGGACCCTGTTATTCAACGTGGTTTGCGTGACGGCACCTTGGAGTCATCTCATGGGTATTTTAAAGCTGCTAATGCAATTTTGTGAGGGTTAAATTAGATAACATAGACTTAAATATCCACCTTACATATTTGCATTTTCCTTATGTATTTGTGTTGGGCGTTGTTTCTCTTTGCAGCCATGCGGGATCCCCTTCTTAGCCTGCTGTGCTGCTCGGGCCTCGGGCCTCAGCCCGCTCCTCTGGCCTCTACTCGCTGCACTGCCTTAGTGGTTCCGTTCAGCCCTGTCTCTCTAACGCTGCTCTCGGCAGGCCCGCAGCTCACGTTCACACCCTCAGCCCGCCCCTCTGTCCCGCGCTCCAGACACCTCTAACTGCCTCTTGGCATCTCCACTGGGATGTGGCCGCATCTCAGAGCTGAGCTCCTGCTGCCCCCTGCCCCCCGCATCCCCCCCAGGCTGCTCCTCCCCTGCCCTTTCCCGTCTCAGCAGTTGGCAACACCATCCTCGAGGGGCTCCAGCTAAGGACTCTTGAGTCTTCCTCGACTCACCTTCTTCCTCTCAAATTCCACATCCAGACTGCACATCCTGTGTGGGCACCACCTAAAAAGTGTATCCAAAACCCAGCAACTTCTCTCCTCCGCCACGGTCACCACTCCGGCCAGGACACCATGTCTCTCACCTGCAAAGCCTTCTCCCTGGTCTTCCCACTTGTCCGTCTTCAGCATTTCAGCTTTGACCTTGGCCTTCCTCCTGATCATACAAAGCCTGGGATGGTACCAACTGGAGGGTGGGATATAACAGTTGCACTGGAAGAAGAGGAAACCTTTTCATAAGAATAAAAAAACCATTTGCAGGAAGCTCTCCAACGGAGTTCCCCTCGCCTGCCCGTCCCTAAGCCAGTCACTGGCCAGAGGAACGGGGTTACCGGGCTGACTGAGGCTGGCTGGGCGTGGCTCCGAGGTGGAGATGGGGAACAAGCAGACGCCTGCAGGGCTGAGGCTCTGTTTGCTGAGGAAGAGGCACGGGACAGGTGCTGGGTGAGCATCAGGACAGAGTCTGCCACGGTGCAGTAGTTCAGAGGGTCAGTAAGAGCCCAGTTCCTCTTCTGAGCTGCTCAGCGTGGGCGGCCCTGGGCCCCCAGGACTTGGGGAGCTGACGTCCACCCCTGACCGAAGACGGACAGGGATGGGGCAGACAATGTGTGTGTCTTTCTGCCCGTGCGGAGAATCCTGCCTTTCCTGGGGTTTCCTTCTTTCAGGTTAATGGAAGGAGATATTTGCTTATCGCATTAGTGTCCTAGGGCTGCCGTAACAAATCGCCACAGACCCGGGAGCTTCACAGCAATGTATTCTCACACAGTTCTGGAGGCGAGCAGTGTGAGGTGAAGGTGTCACAGGGTTGTGCTCCCCCGAGGCTCGAGGGAAACCCCCTGCCGTGTTTTCTCTTCGTTTCCAGCGTCACCAACGCTCCTTGGCCTGCAGGTGCGTCACTCCAGCCCCAGCCTCTGTTGTCACGTGGCCTCCTCCTCCCTGTGTGTCTCTGGTGTCTCTCCTGCTAAGGACACAGCCGTACTGAATTAAGGACCTGTCCTTCTCCTGTATGACCTTATCTTAACCAATTACATCAACAACTCTATTTCCAAATAAGGATGTCTTCTTGAAGGTCTGGGGGTTAGGACTTCAGCATATCTTTTTGGGGGGACATAGTTTAATCCATTATATTTACATTTACAGTATTTATTTTTCTTTACTTTTTCCTCTCCAATCTGGGTGCTCTTTCTTTCATTTTCTTGTCTAATTTTTTGGCTAACCACCAGGCCTTTGCAGCTATAAGTTGTTCTCTCTGTACTGCACTAGCTGCACCCCAGAAGTTTGGGTACGTTGTGCTACATTTTTTAGAAACTGTGGTATGTGCGGGCTTGACTTGCATTGGTTATGTAGGTAACAGTAACCGAAATGTTAAGGAGGAACGTGTACAAGATAGGTTCCTCGCCGTTAAATGAGTGCAGGTAATTTACTGAATAATAAACTAGTAGCCGTGAATTAAGAATTGTAGTGTTTATAGAGACAGTGTAAAGACATCGTGTATTAACTTCCTCTCTTTTTCTAGTTGTTCGTGCCTAGGTCATGTCCTACCGTGCTGCTGAAGGGCCGCGGCTGATCCCACTGCACACGGCCCAGCAGTTACCAAATTACAGGTGCTGTGCATTCGGGGAAGAAGCCTCAGCAGACCTTATCACGTGTGAAATTTGCATTTTTTATTTCAGTGCATCCCTATTTCAAGTTTTATCTGCAAGCCAGCAACTTTTTGTTTGGTTAATTGCCTCCGTTTGACAGAGCCGTTTTTCAGACCCACGGCTGCAATGAACTCAGTGATGAGGTATTTATATTCTTAGGGTTCCTGGGGACTGGACGAGCTAAAGCCGGAAAGGGAATCATCACAAGGAGACCGTGCCCGCTGTTGCTGATCTCTGACAAAGACGCTCTTCTTCACCTTTTCCCAGCTCTTCCCCGAGACAGCCAGCGTCCCTGTGCTCCTGGGGCTCTTCCAGGTCACTAGCATCCACCCCCCTGCGTGCTCCACGCTGCCTTCCTCTTTCCTCCTTCCGACCGAGCTCCCCAAATCGCTGCATAACATCTCAGGTGCCAGCATTCTCTCCTACTCTTCCCCCCGAGGAAAGACGATGTCATCACCAAGTTCACTGTTCCTACACTTGACGTTCAGACAAACATTGCTTTGTGTTTCCTTGCACAAGCCCACCTCTTGTTGATGCAATTCCACCCCGGAGTGGCCAGCCCCTGGCGTGTCCACCCCGGGGTATTTATTTATAGGCCATTATCACAGGGCCCCTCATCTCACAGGCTGTGAAAGGAAGACTTTCAAGCTGACTTCTCCCTCCATCCCCGATTCAGACAGAAGCTGGAAATGGCGTAGAGGATGGGATGAGGCCTGAAATGACTCCCAGCATAGCTCAACCAGAAACAGTCCCCCCAAAAAGCCAGATTTTGAGCATTTCGCACTGTTTAGCTCAGAGTTCATTCAGCCCACTGCTTCGGCAGCTGCTCAGGGGCAGCTCATGGTCACTGGCCTCTGCGCCAGGCTGTTAGCTCGCTGCCGGGGCAGGTAGCCTGGGCGCTGGCTGCTGAGAACAGGCTGTGCTCAGAGGCACCGGCCCATCTATTGCGGGCTTCACTGGGGATGTTTTCGGACCTTTCAAGGTCAGTGACTACTCAGCAGTTGCACACAGTTGTTACTGAAGGTCTCAGTCCCGACTGTGGCTCATCATCTTGTCATTCAGAGAGCAAAGGGGGTAGCAGGAAGGTGGCTTTTAATAGCTGTGACACTGTAACACCAAGATGGTCACCATTCTCAACTTCCATTTTTTTGCATATTGTTTTTCATAGTTGTATAGCTCTAATGATGATACTTTCCATACTTACACATATTATAGAATATTCTTTTATAAATATTTCCTAAGTTCCCATACGATCTTTATGATAATTTTATTGGCTGCCCAATGCCTTGTTGCGTATTTGGGCTTTTGCAGGAGTCACTTAGTTGAAGAAGGTGCCAGAGCATGTGGTGCTCCCCAGGGCGGTGGAAAGGGGTGCCCACTGCTGCCTGAGGGCGACGGGCACCCTGGGGGTGGGGTCGTCCCAGGATGCCAAAAACAAACCGCTCACCTATTTGATCGGACACTAACCCTGGTCCCATGGACAACTCATCCTTTGCCTTAAACAAAAAGACAATGCAAGTAAAGAAAATATGTTGATGTGAGTGTTTTTCTGTGCTGCATGAGTCACACGGTGCCCACAAGCATCCCAAAGCCAGAGCACACTGGTCGCCTCGGTAAAATCTCTGTTGGGTCCAGGACCAGCGAGGCTGCAGCTGGCATGTCTGCTGGAGGTTGGGAGGGAGCTGTGTGCGAGCTTCCTGCTCCCACAGCCCGTGTCCCACCGCTGCGGCCCCTCGGCCCTGCCCAAGCACCTGGGCCCTCCAGCTGCTGGGCCAGCGAGCACTAATTAGCCTCGGGAATAGGAGCCATCTTGGGGAGGAGTTCTGAAAGTATAGATTCTTGGTCCCCACGCCCTGAGTGGTAGGTATGGGATGGGGCCTAAGGATTACAGGATATATTTAATCGTGCCTTGTAATTATTCCTCTAAATAGCATTTAATCGTGAAGAGTACACAGTAGATAATAGTACACAGTAAACTCTAGCTACAGTGATATATTGCTGATGACTCAGATGTGTGTTTGTAAAGTAGAGCTGACCTCTGATTCAACAACCAATAAAGTATGAACCTGTCCTTTATTGTATGAACCTGCAATGGTCTTCTGTCACCACTAGGGGGCAAAGGTGCAGTGTTTCTGCCTTTTTCTTTTTCTGGTAGTTTAGAACTACCTGGGAAGGTGCCAGGCAGCTGAGGGGTCCTAGGTGCCTGAAATCCATCAGAAGGTGGGGGAGGGGGCAGTGGAGGAAGCCACTGAGATGGGGAAAGAAGGAGACCAACATTTACTGTAGCCTGTTCGGCGCTGGGTTCTGTGTTAGGCATGTATGCATCTAGTTTAATCCTTGTGGCTACCCAATGTACAGATGAGGAAGCTGAGAATCAAGGAGCTAGAGTGACCTGCCCGAGATAACAGAGCTAAGACTTACCGAGCACAGATTTTAAGAGGCCATCTGGACTCCCAAGCCTGAGCTTGGAACCTAAATAATACCAGAGGGAAGGCTAGGGTTCCTCACTAAAAGTTGGCTTTATTTCTATTTTTTAAACTTGTTTCTTTTATTGATTCTAGTGCAAAGGGCAGGGAGAGAGGGAGAGAAGCATGGATGTGAGAAACCTAACCCGCAGCCCAGGCATGTGTCCTGCCCAGGAATCTAAGCAGTGACCCTTAGGTTCACGGGACGATGCCCCGCCCACTGAGCCACACCAGCCAGCGCTTGGCTTTAATTTGACCAATGGCCAGCTCTGCTCTTGCCTGCGCCCCAACCACAGCTGCCTTTGAACCTCACGCTTCACACAGCCACCTGCACGCTTTTGCCTGCTGAGTGGGCTTCGGAAGCCTGGCACGGTTCCTCTCCTTCCCGAAACTGAAACAGCCAAGTTTCTGACAGGTCAGGCCCTGAATCCTAACAGACCGCCAGACGCCCCAGTCCAGGGCGCCGGCAACGCGTGTGAGCAGCGGCCATGCCATCGGCCCAGCCCAAGCAGGGGCGCAGGCACCCAGGCCTCCTTGCACCCAGCGTTCAAGTGTCCAGCATCACCCATTTGGGTCAAAGTTGTATTGATCTTTTATTCAGTTATGTATATTGTTTTAAAAGGGACATATCATGGATAATTCTACTTCTGGGTAAATGCACAAATGAACTGAAAACGGATTCAATGGGCATTTATACACCAATGTTCATGCAGCATTAGTCACATCAGTCAAAAGGTGGAAGCAGCCCCAGTGTCCAACCACTGAGGAGCAGGCAAACAAACCGTGTGCACACACAGTGGAGTATTATTCGGCCTCGAAAAGGAAAGAGACCCTGACACTGGCTACCACGTGGATGAACTTGGAAGACATTATGCTAAGTGAAACGAACCAGCCACAAAAGACAAACAGTGCAGGCTGAGCTGAAATGAGATGCTGCGGGTGGGGCGGGGCGGGGCGGGGTGGACGGAGAAACGGAGACCTAGCGTCCACTGGGACAGAGTGCCGGTCGAGGAAGACGGAGAGACTGCAGATGGGACGGCGGTGACAGCCGCACAGCAGCGCGGATGTACTTCATGCCACAGAACAGCGCGCTTACACGTGGTTAAAGAGGCACATTTTATGCAATGGACAATTTACCACAATTTTGAATTTCTAAAAAGTACGTCCCTGGAGCTCTCAGTCCAGTGTTGTTAGCGTCCTGTCCTCTAAGGCAGCTTGGTCTCCCCCCGAGCGCCGACGCAGGGGCGCACCCCTGGGCACAGCAGAAAGCGCTGCCGTCTGGCTCGGCAAACGGGGATCCCAGAAAAGGCTGGCTCTCTGCAGCGCGTCCTTGAAAGCTCCTGAGACCCCCCTCCCGTGCCAGCCTTCCGCTGGGCTTGTGTCAGCCCCAGCCTGGACCGTCGCCGGCACACGCTGCCTCTGCTCGCGGCTGCCAGCCTCGCGGCAGGGCCCGGGCCAGCTGGCCGCGCTCCCAGTTCACGCGCTCTCGCTCAACAGGACCTCTGTGTTGCTTGGAGATCCCGGATTTTCCAGCTCGAGTCGAAGCAGTAGCTCATTTTTCAGTGTGACTCTTCCAAATTCCTTCTGCTGTCTGCGAGCTTTCAGTTTTTCAACATGGCCGTCATGCCCCTGGCAAAATATCTGTGTTTCTGTTTCACTAACTTCAGCGCGTTCTTACCGTCACGAGCACTTTCTGCTGTGCTGGGGGCCGATGGCCAGGAGCCACCAAGGCTTTCACTGGCCCCCTCTGTTCCCTATTTCAGCTCAGCATCGATGGTTTTACATAGGGGGTGCTGAATAAGGCTTGCTTGAAGGAAAGTTTTCTGTTAAAAATATTTTTTTTTAAACAGTATTGCCGTCAAGGATCAAGCATCTCTCTTCTGACCGAGCTGAGCCGCCGATGCCTGTCCCCCTCTTCTCCAGGGCAGCGATGCTTGGCTGTCCTCTCCTGTGCCCTCTCCTCACCCGCACATGTGCTCCACGGTGCACACCCTCCAGCACTTCCCCTTGACCTTGCTGAACTGAGCAGGCGGCCACCCCCCCCCCCCCCACGGCACTCAGGAAAACCTTATCTGAAGCTGTCCCCACTTTGTGACTGTGCTCGCAGCTCCTTACACTCTGGCCTCTGCCCTGTCCCCCCACAACACTCTTAGCCTGACACCCCCAGCACCCCAGCACCCTGCTCTGCGGCCCTCCCTGCACCCTCACAGCCGACGCTCTTCACCCAGGCCTTCAAACGCCGTGCCGGTTCTGTCTGCGCTGTGGCTGCTTTTCCTCTGACACCTGAACACCCTCCTCTAAGTCCCTGCCTTCAGCCCTCTGCTCAGACCCTTCTCCCTCTCCCCCCACAGGCTTTAACGGTTAGCGCTAACTCACCCCTGAAGTCCAGCCGCTCGCTGGACATGGCCATTTGCATCCAGCTCCCGTCTCCTGAGCTAGACCCTCCCTCCGCTTTCACCCCCTGCTCCAGCCGGCCCCTGGTCAGCCTCCCCAGGGGCCTGGCTCCCCGGCCGTGAGCCCTGGAGTTACCTCCCACTCCTTCCTCCCGCGGGACACAGTCAGTCACCAAACCCGACCGGTCCTGCCCCCGCAGTGTCCCTCTCACCGGTCTTTCCGTTCCTTTCGCTCAGCTGCTGGAACCCCGGCCTGACCAAGCTCTCCTGCTCCTTCCTTGCCCAGCTGCTCGCTTCCAGTCGTTCCTGCCCCGATTCTGTCTCCACGCTCCTGCCCCTGCCAGGCAGACCGACCCCTGGAGGTGCGACCCTCCTGGCTCCAGGCCCCTCCCTGCCCGACCTTTGCTGTGCTCGCTGTGCATTCTCTGACCACTGGCCGCTGCCCCAGCTCACGGAGAACTTCCTCCCCGCGGTGTTCTCGCTTCCACTGGGTGCTCAGCCCGGAGCCTCTGCAGCTGTCACCTCCAACAAGACTCCTCTGTCAGGGCCAGAGCCTGTCACCCTGCCAGCTGGACATGACCTCTTCCTCTTCCTGACTTTGGTTTGGTGGCACTGGTTTTCCTACCTGGCAAGTGATCTGCCTGTACAGAACCCTCTCTCTCCGTCTCCCCACCCCCAGCCCCACGTGCTATTGGGAACCAAGCTCCTTGCAGGGACAACCCTGTCTTAGTCATCTCTACATCCTCCTCGGGGTCTTGTGCAAAGCGGCTGCTCAGAGCCGCTGGCTGGCCTGCATGGGCATGGCCACTTCCGACGGGGGATGTGGCGCTGTCTCCTCTCTGTGCCTCTCTGGTCTCTGGCAACAGAAACAGGTCAGGTCGCCCCTCCGGCAGCCAAGGTCCCTTGCCTTCAGCTCTTCTGCCTGAACCATCTTGGACAAAAGACCGGGCATCTCAGGGTCTCTCACAATCACTGCTGTCTTCCTGAGTCACCGTCTTTGATGGCGTTCCAGACAGCCTAAGTGACCCTCTCCTTAAATAGGGACTCCTGGCCAGCCCCCAGGGTCCCTGGTGGGCTTGCTGGATGCTCCCAGGAGGGGCCCCTGCCTGTGTCAGGGCCCCTGCAGCTTGAGGGGCTCCAGGCCATCCCAGGTCATGCACGGGGGGCTTTCCTGCTCTGCTCGCACGGGAATGCCGGCTCAGTCCTGAGAGGGAGAGCCCAGAGAGATCATGGGCTTTACAAAATAACTTTATTGCAAGGGCGACCTCTAAGTAGCAAGAAGGCCGTCACCATAATCTCAGCTCTTTTACACAACTGTTTGCACGTTTCTTTTTAGTCTTGTCCGTATGCACAGTCTATTGCAAATAGTTATAGTAATATTATATATATGGCCTTTTTCACTAATTGTAAAATCATTAACACTTTCCTAGGAGTCCACAGCTTTCACAGTAATCCTTGTAATGTCTACATAATATTACCCAGGCAATTATTTGTTTATCCTTTTTATTAGACATTTAGTTCGTTTCTGTTTTTTGTTTTTTTTTTTTCCATTGGAGGTGATACATTAGAACTTTTCTCTTACCTTCAATGACTTCCATGGGGTAAATTCCCAAGAATGGGGGCTACAGGACAAGGGACATTTTTATGACTCTTGATTCTTATTCCCATAGTGCTTTCCCAACGAGCTGTACCAATGTGCAGACAACAGTATCTCAGCGGCCCCTTGGTGCATCTCACCACCGATGCCTACGCAGGTCCAACATGCATTTGTCTGCAGATCTAACATGCATTTGTCCAACATGCATTTGTCTGCCTCTTATAAGGGAGGCGCTTTCACACTGGTGTGTGCATTCAGACCTCTTCCTTTCAAAGTCGAGGGCCTCTGCTCGGTTTACAAATGAAGACAGACCCGGAGAAGTGAGGCACAGGGTCGTGGCTACGGGTTTGAAAACAATTGCACGTGTGCGGTCCAGGGGATCTGCAGACCGCGCGTCCCCTGCGCTTTCCGGCCTGCCCAGCGCGTGCCGTCTGCGTGTTTGCTAACCTCCCGTTAAGGCTCCGCTGAAAAGTGACGCTGCAGGTCTGTCCTCTGGCCACCGCCGTCCTGCGAGTCTTTTCCACGGAGTGTCTTTGGGCAGTGGAGGTGGAAGGCTCTGGATCTTTAAGCCCCACGGCTACGCCAAGATCTCTGTTGACCAAGGAAAGACCCGCTGGTGCTGCTTTCTGAACGCGGCTCCTGGACGTCCTCCTCGGAGTAGCTCCCTCGGACAGCGGCAAGCAGCCTAGGAAGCCCCGTCCTCCCCTCCCCCAGCGCTGTGCTCACACTCCCCCTCTCTCTTGCGGTGGTGCCGCGGGTACCCTTTCCCTGGCTCTGCATGCGCTCACCCTGTCTGACCTTGAAGCACTAGCTCCTCCAACAAGGTTGTTAGCATTTACCCACTGCCGCCTTAAAGCAAACCCTCCCCGAGAAGGTTTACTTAGACTAATAACGGTTTAGTTCCCCCTGATTCTGCGGACTGGCGGAGCGGCTCCTCTTGCCGGTTTGGCCTGAAAGCCTCACTCAGTGCTGGGTGTTCGGGGCTGGGGGTCCGAGGCACCTGGCGGTGGCTGGCCGACAAGCTCAGGGTCCGTGGCGGAGGGAGACACGCGGTCCCCATCTGGGAGCCACAGGCCACTGGCTCGTGACAAACCGTAGTTCTTGCTCTGCCACAAATGGTTCCCACCCCTCCCAGGGCCCTCCCAGGGCCCTCTGATGGACGTGACGGGAAGCCACGGAGGCCCCGAGGAGCAGCCCTCGGAGCACCCCTCGGTAGTGATCAGACCCTGAAAGAATCTGGGGTCGGGAACAGGAACAGGGGCCAGACTGCTGCGGGCTGAGCTTGAACAGTGCGAGACGCTGAGCCGAAGGCGCTAATTCCAAGACAAGGGGTGAGAAGCAGAAGAAAGATGGGACAGCTCAGCATTTGTGACAAGAAAGCACTGCCCTGTTCCTGGGGACTGCTGGCCTCATGCATCTTTCTCTTGGGCTCCAGAGCGGAGCCCCCAAAAGGAAGGGGGGTGCGTAGTTCCCTTCTCTTCCTTTCCTCGCAGGATGGCAGGCACCTGGGGGACTTCCATTTCCAATGTCCACGTGTGTCCGGTAACATTCTGGACTGTGAGCAGCTCTGCCCCCGCCCCCTTCACCCCTGCAGGGGCAGCCTGGCCAATGGCAGAATCGAGCCTCCCCCCCCCCCCCGCCCCTTCACCCATGCCCTTTGCACTCGCCCTACGGCCAGAAGCTCCCCGAATCATTAACAAACGGAGAAGCTCAGTGGCTCTCCACTTTGGCCACACGGTGTATCACTCAGGAGCACTTTTAAAACTTCAGTTCATCTCGGGTGCATCCCGGAGGTAGCTGTGTTTTCAAAAGTGCACCAGGTGATTGCTGGTGTGCAGCCGGATTGGGAACAGTCGGAAGGACTCATCTTGCCGGTTTAGAAAGTTCAGTCAACACAGAACTTGTGGATCTTTCGAGGCGTCTGAAAATACCGCCTAAGTCCGTAGCCTTCGGTCAACTAGCAGCGCCTAGGAGACACCTTTCCTTGGATGCTGTGGCCTCTGGGCTGCCTATTGGGGTGATTCTCGAGGATCTTCTGGGGGTCTCCTTTGGCCTCGGGCCTCCTGAGCTGCCCACCGTGTGGAAATACGGGAGCTACTCCTGCGGCCACACAGAAGTTGCCTGGTGGGTGGGTTTCGTGAGGTCTCCGGTGTGACACCGAAGGAGAGTCTCGTTGCTGCCGACCCTGACGTCAGTCTTAGAAAGTTTCCTTCATAGAGGTTTTCCTTGCAACTTGTCACGGACTCTGAGTCCACAAGCTCTCGCAGAGAATAAGAACGCACATGTCCCAGCACCGCCTCTCTTCCTGGCCATCCCGTCCCATCCAGAGCCTCCCCCCATCCGAAGACTCCTCTCTCCCTTCCAGGATCTGGGGCGAGACTGAGAACCAATGCAGCAGCCTCTGGGGGGAAGCATTTCCACACGCTGCCCACCGTGCAAACTAGCGTTTCCTCTTTGTTTCTTCCACATCTGCCTCTCTCGGCCACCCACGGCCACCTCACACCGCTGGCATGCCAGGATTTGGGGACGGCACCTGTGCTCCGACTACGCGCACCTCTGGCCTTATTGCGTCTGAGCTCTCGCCTTTCTCTGAAGGCCAGAGTTTGTTTCCTGCTTGTCAGCATGTAAAGAACCCTCTTTCTGCTTGTCACTTGAATCGCCCTCGGTTGGATCCTTTCCAGCCCTATCATGTCATCTGGAAGTGCCGCCGGAGAACGGAACGCCACACATCATGGTGTCAGTTTACCATAATCTGATGCAAGGATGGAATTGGGATGTTTAGTTTCCAGGATTCTTGCCCACATGTGATCAGGGTTTTTTGGTGGGGCTTGGGGGTGGGGGGCAGCGCCGTGCATTCCCAACTTCAAGGAATGGTTTTTCAGGGCCATTAAATTATTTTCCTTGAGCTGTTGCAACCTTCCTGCTTCCCACGTGACACTCTGCCGGCAGGTGTCTGCCGGCCCAGGCTGCTCTGTGCCTCCTCCGGCTTCCGTCCCGACACCGCCGGCTCCTGCCAGACCCGGTGCTGCGAGCGGCCTGGGAGGTTCACTGGGCTCCTCTTCCCGGGTCGCCTACAGCCGTGGGAACGAAGGCTTGGGTGTCCGGCCTGCAGCATGAAAATGGGGCAGGTCCTGGTCGAGATTTTTAAAAATACTTTTTCCTGTTTTTTAAAAAGGGCATGTTCCTTGAAGACATTTTGAGACTATAAAAAAAATACAAAGAAAATGAAAATCACTCTTAATCCTACCACCCACAGGTAATCCCAGAATATAAATCCCTGGCTTATATCCTTCCAGTCTTTTATTCTGGGAGCACCACACACACATACGCGTTCCCTTTATCATTTTTATAATATGATATCTGATAGCTAACAACTACGCCTGAAAATAATATGACATTGAATGTTGTATTGAAACTGTAATTGAAAAAAATTAAAAATAAACGCACTCGATACAAAAGAATATATGTAACATTGTACATGAGCAAACCAAGAAATAAAACATTAGGAATAATTGGCAATAATTGTCACTCACCTAAGTGCTCCCCCAGCCACCGCTTCCTGGTACAGGGTAAATATTTTCTCAAAGTTTGGGTTTGTTATTCTCTTGCTTTACAAAAGCAATTGTACAAATTATTTGGGTTTACTTGATTTTTAAGCTTTATAAAGATGGTATCATTCTATAATCATATGTCTCTTGCTTTCTCTACTCAAACAATACATTGGTTCACTTTATTGGTTGCCTTTGCGGGGAGATCGGGGGGTGTAAAGTACACAAATGTCATTCTGAGC